CACGCACACACACACACACACGCACACACCAAGAGTGGATGAAAAGGCTTATGGCTTAAAAAGGAGACTGTCTAGGGAGAACTTGGCAGGCTCCCAAGATGGTCCAAATGTGGTTAGAAAGAGCAAAGAAAGTGCCTGGTAAGGGATTTCTTTTTTTTCTTTTTTTTTTTTTTTTTGTGGTTAGGAGATGGATCCGGTCTGAGGGTTCTAGCACATCGGTAGGGGCTCACCCAATTTGAAACTATTGCCAGAGCCAAAAAAGAGCACACCTGGGCTGTCTTATCAGCTTGCCCAGATGTGGGCAGAAGGCAGGGAGGGTGAGGCCAGCAGTTGGACATCCAAACAAATGGAGGTGGACTTTTTATTGCATAGCTCTCATAGGGTATTTATAAATAGTTCAATCAAAGGAATTTTTTCCCCACCATGGGGGAAAATGTTTAATACATTTTCCACGTCAATAAAAAAACTTAAATACAGTATGTTTTGAAAGCTTAAGGAAGGTAAAAGGAATTTATTGCATTGAATTTTGATAAAATATAATACATTTTAGAGTCCTTTAATTAAACTGATTTTATTCTTAAAAGGAAAAAGGTGTTTTTTATTCCATACATTTCCTTCATTAAGAGGGGACGATATTTTACTGTTTATATGGATTTGTTGTCTCTAGATGTTTCTGTTCCTCTAACATTCTTCAGTTGTCTAAAGTGGGTGTGGATAGAAAAGGATGAATAGCAGCAAAACCAACCAGAAAGAGTTCTAGGAAGAATGGGTTTGCCACAGCTAAGAAGTGTTGCTGAAGGTGGTGTGTGATCCTTAAGTGTGAATGCTTTACTTGTGAATTACCTGAATTAAAATCAGAAACACAGAGCTGGGTGCCTGTTTACTTGTTTCCTTTTACCAATCCTTCATTTTCTTTCCCAAAAGCTGTCTCTGCAACATGGAACCACAGAATCTTACACATGTCTCTGAATTCCTCCTGCTAGGCCTCTCAGAGGATCCAGGACAGCAGCCCATCCTCTTTGGAATGTTCCTGTCCATGTACCTGGTCACAGTGGCTGGGAATCTGTTTATTATCGTGGCCGTGATCTCCGACCGCCATCTCTACACCCGCCTGTACTTCTTCCTCTCCAGCCTGTCCTTAGCTGACATTGGTTTTACCTCCACCACCATCCCAAAGGTGCTTGTGAATACTCACACATACCAGAGAGACATCTCTTATGTAGGCTGCCTGATTCAGTTGTCTTTTTTATATCTTTTTGCATGTCTGGACAGTCTACTCCTGATGGTGATGGCCTATGACTGGTTTGTGGCCATCTGTCATCCCCTGCACTACCCAATCATCATGAGCCCCCGTCTATGTGGCTTGCTGGTCCTGGTGTCAATTTTCGTCAGCTTTTTTGACTCCCAGCTACACTGTATGATGGTGTCACATCTTACCTTCTACACAGATGTGGAAATCCCTAGTTTCTTCTGTGACCCTCCTCAACTTTTCAACCTTGCTTGTTCTAACACCTCCACCAATACCATGTTAATGTATTTAATTGGTGCCATCTTTGCTGGTATTCCAGTCTCTGGGATCCTTTTCTCTTATACTCGAATTTTATCTTCCATTTTGAGAGTCCCATCATCAGGTGGGAAGTATAAAGCTTTTTTCACTTGTGGCTCCCACCTGTCAGTAGTGTGCTTATTTTATGGAACGGCCGCTGGAGTATACCTGAGCTCAGCTGTCTCACCTTCTCTCAGGAAGGGTGCAGTGGCCTCAGTGATGTTCACTGTTGTCACCCCCATGCTGAATCCTTTCATCTACAGCCTGAGGAACACAGACATCAAGAGAGCGCTGCAGAGACTCCTCAGCAGAATATCTTAATCTGAAGATCTGTGGCTTTTTTATCTTGTGTGTGTTACATTTGGAAGCAAAACCAAATATGAGGTGCTGGAATACATGCTCCTTTGGTCACATAATTTGTGTAGCTCCCATGGATTTCACTCCTCTTGATGTTTCATATCGGAATACTATATTACTTATTTGGCACACTTTTTGGGGAACTGTAAAATGTTCTGAAATCTGTACATCATAGTGTCTGCCCAACTGAGTCATATAATATCCATAGAGCCTTCTGTACTTACAGATATCCTGGTGAAATGTACAGTCTCTTTAAAAAAATACAATCCTCTACCCTTTCCATAGTTCATGTCTATGTTCTTACACCTTTTATAATTATCTTATTTATTTATACAGTTTGGGTGTGATAAATGCTTTTTGTTGTTAGGTGCTGTTGAGTCAGTTCTGACTCATAGTGACTCTATGTACAACAGAATGAAAAAATGCCCAGTCCTGGGTCATCCTCACAATTGTTATTATGCTTGAGACCATTGTTGCAGCCAGTGTGACAATCCATCCATTAAGGGTCATCCACTTTTTTGCTGGTCCTCTACTCTACCAAACATGATGTCCTTCTCCCAGGACTGATCCCTCCTCATAACATCTCCAAAATATGTGAGATGAAGTTTCATCATCCTCGCTTCCAAGGAGCACTCTGGCTGTATTTCTTCCAAGATAGACTTGTTGGTTTTTCTGGCATTCCATATTCTTTGCCAACACCATAATTCAAAGGCATCAATTCTTCTTCGCTCTTCCTTATTCATTTTTCAGATTTTGCATGCATACGAGGCAATTGAAAATATCCTGGCTTGGGTCAGGTGTACCTTTTTCCTCAAAGTGACATATTTTTCTTTTTAACACTTAAAGAGGTCTTTTGCAGCAGATTTGCCCAATGCAATACATCTTTTGATTTCTTAACTGCTGCTTTCGTGGGTGTTGATTGTGGATCCATGTAAAAGGAAACCCTTGACAGCATCCATCTTTTCTCCATTTATCATGACTGTGCTTATTGGTCCAGTTGGTTCTTTATGTTGAGGTGTAATCCATACTGAAGGCTGTAGTGTTTGATCTTCATCAGTAAGTGCTTCAAGACCTCTTTGCTTTCATCAAGCAAAGTTTTGTCATCTGCATATCACAGGTATTCATAAGGTTTTCACTGGACAATTTTTTCAGAAGTGGACTGCCAGGTCCTTCTTCCTAGTCTGTCTTAGTCTGTAAGCTCTGCTGAAACCTGTACACCAATGGTGACCCTGCTGGTATTTGAAACACTGGTGGCAAAGCTTAGAGTATCACAGCAATACACAAGCCACCACAGTATGACAGATTGACAGACATGTGGTGCTTTTTACTCTGCCCTTAATCTTGGCTTCATATTGGAATCATCTAGTGAACATTAAAAATACTCAAACCTGATCCCCTAAATAATGAACTGTATGGAACCAAATGGTCAATATTTACCTAAAACAACAATGAGAAGCTAAGGAGGGGAAGGGTAGCTAGATCAATGGAAACAGAACAAAAAGAGTGGAAATACTGAGAATGTTGACACATTGTGAAAAATGTAACCAATGTCATGAACAAACTGTATATAAAATTTTTTATATAGGAATCAAATTTGCTTCGTAAACTTTCCCTAAAACAAAATAAAATGTTTTAAAAAATACTCATGCCTGAGTTCCAACACCAGAGAGTCTAGATTATTGAGAGTGGGGTATGGGGTAAGATGGAGAATTTTTCAAAGCACCCTAGCAGGTACTAGTGGTCAGCCAAGGTTGAAGACTACTGATCTCAGTGAAACCATTGTTCAAAAATGACTAATATATCTTTGAGGACTTCCTCATGAGAAGATGCTGAAGATCTTAAAGTCATCAGAGCTCACAAGGGAGATAGGAGAGAACTTACCATAACTACAGGCAATATGGTTTTTCTCAATTTTTCTAGTAATATTTCTTCATATATCTTTTCCCTCTATACCATATTGTTGTTGTTGTTAGGTACCACTGAGTCAGTTCCAACTCATAGTGACCCTATACCAGAGAGCAGTCATATGTGCTGGTTATTGAGTTCTGTTTCTCTGCTCCAAACTCCCCTTTCTATACTACACATTGTGATGCCAGTGTAGAAATCCTCAGATCACTGCCCTGATTTTCTATCTGGCTTTCTTGTCAGGTTCTTCCAGTAGGTGTCCATAAGCCCAACTTTTTCACTGTTCTCCTTGTCCTTTGGTGTGGTTGCTACTTCCTGTAGGCAGTATCTCTCTGTTACCACTTTTTTCCTTTATGGATTTCATTCTTTCAATAACTATTTAACTAATTATGTATATTAAATCATCTTCATTAAAATAACTAGTGTATTTTCTTTCTTCTTGATTGAACCCTGACTGATAAATCGTAACATGGAAATAAAGATATATTGTCATGTGTCTGCAATTGGAAGCTTACAAATGTGCTCAGGAAAAGTTTGGTTGTAAATCATATGCTTTGGTCAAGGGTGTACAACTGAAGTTGCAGGTGGAGATATCATATTTCCAGTTGTTATGTGACTCTGATGGTGACTGAGAATCCTTAAGTCACCCAAATCATTAAGAATAAATTTAACTTTATCTGTTTTTGATTACTCTAAGATAGCAAACAGTCATGTCCTCAGTGAAGGGGGGATCTTTCATCTCTCTAGTGGTAACCTGCTTGCAATTCCACTTTGTAACCATGCGTCACTGTCTTTTGTCTTGATAAATATGTCCTGTGTCTCCTTCTCTCTTTTCTTTCGAGATGCCACATGTAGTTCCTGATGCAGCAACATGGGCTCTGGAAACCTGTGCAGTCCTAGTTTAAATTACTCTGCCTCTTACCAGTAAGCTGAATCTCCAGTCAACTTCACTGATGAGGACCTTTGATACTCAAATTGTGCTTTAAGCTAGGTGCCTGACAGAAGGCCTTACAATTTCATCTTTGCACAGTGAGACCTTGAGCAGTTTTAAAGCAGGGACTGAATATCATTGGTGTCTATACTCAAAAGCTAGCTTAGTTAGGGCATAGATTGGGTATATCTATACTTTGTTTAATATTGAATAAGTTATTCACTGACTCACAAGAAAAGTGAAGATATTTTGATATCAACACATACAGTTTTGGATGGTCTACTAACCCTTCTGTATAGATTCTTACTAACTCCTGAGATAATAAATGTATGCCTTGTTGTTTTTATGATTATGAACATTCACTGACATCAATTTTTTTCAATTTAATAGTATATGCAAGATTAAAAACCATAGAATAATAGGTGGATTTTGATAAGTTCTACAAATACCACCACCACTACCAATTGCCATTGAGTTCGTTCCAATTCATGGTGACCCATGTGTCTCAGAGTAGAACTGTGCTCCAGGGGTTTTCAATAGCTGATATTTTAGAAGTAGATCACCAGGTCTTTCTTCCAAGGCACCCCTGGGTGACAATGAACTTCCAGCCTTTAAGTTAGCAACCAAGCGTGTCAACTGTTTGCACATCCAAGGACTACAAACCAATCATAAAGGCAGTGATAATAATAATGGTGAGGATGATGATGTTACTACATTATCAGGAGCCTTTATTGAGGGCTTCATTGTGCCAGGCTCTGAACTAAAACTCCATGTAACTTATTGTCTTGCATTTGCACCACCACCTTCCAAAAAGAGTAACACACATTATTGCTATTTTACAAATTAGGACAGGAGCACAGCCTTTTTATGTAACTTGTACCAGGTCTTGGGTTAGAAAGGGGTGATTCCAGGCTTGAATCTACACAGTCTGACTCCAGACACGAGGTTCCCAGCCATATTCTGCCCTGTCCACCTACCTTGCCATTTCTCTTCCCTAGTCATTGCAAACTATTCATTGTGCTCTTCCAGAGGGTGTCCTTTGCTGAATCAACGACAGAAAGGATATCTGAGATCCCAGGAAGGAATCACAAAAAGAGCTAGCAGATGATATTTCTAGGCATAACTATCTTGCCCCTGCTTCTGAATTTTGTCTTCGCTATCCACTTCTTCCATTCTTTAAATGTAGCCCCTCTCAATCTCAAGGGGAGACATAGCTCAGAGTCTTGGATTCCATTTCTAGTTAGGAAACTGGAATCAGTTAAAAGGTGTACCTTAGGTATACCTTTGATTAAAATCTCTGGACCTCTGCTTAAAACTTCCCAGAGTGTAGGGCAACAGAGTGAAGAAGTTTAGTGCATGGGCCTCAGAGACTGACAGCTTAGTTTTGAATTCTATCTGCTCTACTTGTGAAATATGTGCCATGGGACAAGTTCTTAATATCTCTGGGCCTCTACATTGTCATCTGAGTTGATGTCTAGTCGGTACAACTTCAGTGAGTAATTGTTAAATAGGAAATGAATACTACCTTTGTGATTTGATATATGATGGATGCGTGTAATAATAGTAAAACAAAATTTAGACTCATGGCCTTGAGCTAATGGCCTTGAGAACTCAATGCTCAGAGCTCATAATTAGCCAAACGGGTCCATGTTATCACAATCTTTGAGGACTTGTTAATAATAATGAATGAGGAAGAAGAGAAAAAGGAATGTCCTTTTCTTAGAGGAAACAAACCTACCTTTTTCACTTCCAAGTTGCAGGGAGCTTTAAATATTGTTATTATTTGTGTTATTAGGCTCAGATTCATACTATTTGACTGAAATATCTTGAGACCTGATGGTTTGGCTTTTCCTGTATCCCTAATAGAACATTTTATTTTCATTTTTATACAAGTAGATATTGAATGCTTGGAAGGAAACAACTGAGATTCATTCATTTATGATTCCCCAAAGCTTATCCTGTGCTTGGCACAGAGGATGCTACAATAAGGACAGCAACAAAGCTGTGTCAAACATGGAATAGACCCTTCCTTGGTTCACAGGAACAAAGGGTGGGCTGTACGTAGTCCACACATTGAGCTTTTATCCCTCCAAGGGTGTCTCATAGGACTAGAGACAAGATAAAATAG